TTCATACACGCTGCTGCATCTCAGTACATTCATCACCATCCGTCTAGCGGCCTTCCTGTCCAGACTTACATCCAGGTTTACCCTTCGCAGCAGCCGCAACACCAACAGTCCTTCCACCGCCACCCAGGTCAACTGGATCAGCAGCCTTATCCTGTTTATTATGTCACTTCTCCGGTTCCTCCTAGGCCCTACAGTATGCCTGTCCCGCAATCTGCAAGTGTGAGCGAGGCTCCAGGGTCTCTCCCTTTTAACCATCCCCAGGCACCGCCCAACTCCACCATGATGGCTCCACCTCCTACCAATCACATGAGAAGTGTTCCTGGTGGCAAACCTGAGATGGGACAGGCTGGGGTTTACACAACAACAACTGGTGTGGGCGGTGCGCAGATGGTTCACCAGATCCCTACAAGCCAGCAACAATTCATGGCGTATTCGCAGATCCATCACCCACCTCAGTCTGGTTCGGCTGGGAATCCCAACTATGGATATGAATACGTCGACAATGCTCATAAACAGGTATTCTACACTCAACCTATGGGGCACACACAGTACCAGACAATGACCGGGCCTCCAGCTACCATGGTGATGCCTGATGGCTCTGCGACTCCCAAGCTTCCTGCTGAGAACATGACTCAACAGATCCGAAGTTCACAGCCCTTGTGACACACAAGGCACAAGGAAGGAAGATGAAACACATACAATTTTGGAGGAAGAAAACCCCGGGTTGGTTTTTAAACATATAAATATATAATTACTTTTTTTTTTTTGTTTCACTTAAGTTGCTGCATCAAGAAAAAGAGTCTGGCTTCATGTTGGTTTGGTATTATGGATTATGTTAAAAAGTGTTGTGTGAGTAATTAGAGAATAAGGAAGTAGTGCTGCTTCTTTGGATTTTACATTATTATAGTTGCAATGGATACTGGTGCTTTACCATTTTCCTGGATCTTTTTTTTTTTTTTTTATCATATTATTATCATTTATTTATATTGTAAATGATTCCCAGTGGTTCTTGTTTCACTCCTTGATCATATCTCTCTTTCTCCATCTCCTAAGATTGTTTTGTAACTCTGGAATGTTTTGTAAAACATCATGTTTGGAAGAATGCCTCTTTTCCTCTACATTGCGTGTCTTCTTCTCCATGAGAGCATAAGTACAGACAGGGGGGATCCACGTGTATGGTCTGTGGCTTGGATCCACCGTTCACACTACCCTACAACTTCTCAGACAAGGTGTGGGAGAAAAAGTAGAGACAAAATCGACCTGTCTTGCAATGTAGCAACATAACTTTCTCTTTTGAAAGAGAGCATTTGTATCACCAAACCCAACTCTTTTATCTTTCTCTCTCTGTCCATACTTTCGGCTCAGGTTTTGTATTCTTGCACTAGACTACTACTCCTCACTCTCCCAAGCAACAGAGAGCCTCATCTCCTTGAATTGAGTTGTAGATACTATCCTCAGATGCTGTTAGGACAGAGATGTGTCTTCTGTAATTGGTAGTTCAGATCCTGACTGTGATTTTGTGCTCCAGAAGCATTGAAGCAGTGGCTGGCCTGTTTGGGTTACAAATTCTGAACCAAATCTCTCTGTGGTCAGCTCCCCATCCCTTGCATCAAACCAAGAGACCACAAACTGGATCTTAATGGGTTCTTCTTGTCTTCTGTCTCTTTCCTGTCCCCAATTATGTCGTTTTTTTTATACAAAATATCTTCTGACATTCTTTCAGCCTCAGCTTCATGCTATAAATCCTAATCAATGAGCTCTCTTTCTCATCCCACTCCCACTTCTCAGCATTTGTGGCTATTTAAAAGTATCAATGGAACCAAACACACCTGCAGAGTTCTTCCAGGGGTCTTCCAAGTTTCATACATATTACTCGCAGACCAAGAAGGGCGGTGGCGTAATCGATCTAGGCCTCAGCCTTAGGACCATACAACATGAAACTTACCTCCCATCGGGGCGAAGTGAGTTTCCTTGCTGCTTTCAAAATGAATGAACAAACATGCTTTCACTTCAACATTTTTATTCCTGACTTGCTATCTTCGATATCTATATGTGAATCAAAGTGATAGGTCTGGACGGGTACGGAGAGCTCATAGACTGGTCGCAGCCCAGCTATAACAGCAATAAACAACCGAAGAGTGAGGAAACTGAAAACCAAAAACTTGCTCAAGGATACTACGACGATGAAGAAGAGAGCATAGGCAAATTGGCTTATGTAAAGGTGAATATGGATGGCCTAGTGGTAGGCCGCAAGGTTTGCCTTCTTGATCAAGGAGCCTACTCAAATCTCGCTCTTCAGCTCGACAATATGTTTGGTAAGCTGTGTTCTGATCCCCAAGCTTCCAGCTAGAAATATGTTTCAGACGGTTTTGCCACATCAGTTTGAATTTGCAGGGATGCAGACTGTGTCGGGATTGCGGTTGTTCCAGGCTGAGTCTGAGTTCTCTTTGGTCTACAGAGACAGAGAAGGTATCTGGAGGAATGTTGGGGATGTTCCATGGAAGTAAGTTCTTACCAGAAGTTTTACATTTTCTATATATACAAAAACTTGCCTTTAAACTAAACCACTAGTGTGATTCGCCTGATACTTGATAGGGAGTTTGTCGTAATCGTGAACCGGATGAGAATCGCAAGAAGAAACGAAGCTCTTCTTCCCTTTTAAGTTTCAAAGTTTGAAGTCGAAGCCTCTCCACTCCGGGGGCATTCACTGTTTATCCTATCATAATATCCAAATTAGCTCACTTGTGATGTAACAGAAGCTTTAAATACGATTATGATGAGAGGGACATCTTAATAGCCACT